CCCAGCTATAGCCTGTACCTATTGCGGTTTCAAAGCAGCTAACGCCGGCGTGCGTCTGACCTCCCCTTGTTTTTTCCCAGAGTCCTGCCTGGTATCGGGTGACCCCCATTACTACACATTTGACAAGCAGACTCACCACTTCATGGGCAACTGCACCTATACCCTCTCTCGCCTATGTGACCGGAACAGCTCTCTGCTCCCCTATTTCAACGTGGAAGCCAGCAACGAGCACAGATGGGGCCACACGCACGTCTCCTACGTTGGGAGCGTGGACGTGGACGTCTTTGGCATCCGGGTCACCCTGGGAAAGGGAGGAACGGCGAAGGTAGGTGGCGCTGGCGGAGGACGCCTTTGCTGTGATGCGAGGGCACGAAATAGCGCCTTTGGGCCCGAGTCCCCAACAGCCATGCCCGAATCTCTTTCTAGGTGGACGGGGAGCCGGTCGTCGTCCCCTCCAGCCCCACAGGGGGTGTGGAGATCTTACCCAGCGGCTTCTACACGGTGGTTTCTACGAATTTTGGGCTGAGGGTCAAGTTTGACGGAGACCACCAAGTGGAAGTGTCCCTCCCCAGCTCGTACGAGGGGGCGGTCTGCGGCATGTGTGGAAACTACAACGGGGACCCTTCTGACGATTTCCTCAACCCCCGTGGGGAACCAGAGCCCGACTCCACCAGCTTGGGCAACAGCTGGCAGGTGGCCAACCTCACCAGGTTTGTAGCTGCTATCCGCGAGCGGCGGCTTCTCCCCGGGATGCAGACGCAGGGTATCGAACCACGGTGTGGCTTTTGTCCCCAGCTGCTCCGCAGGCTCTGCTCCCGTCTGCACGGAGGCCGAGAAAGACATCGCCCGGAGCAACAGTTCCTGCGGACGCCTGACGGATCCAAGCGGACCGTTCCGACACTGCCATCGCATCTTGGACCCGATGGGGCATTTTGCCGGCTGCCTTTATGACCAGTGCGCCTTGCACCTGGATCCAGGCTCCCTCTGCAGGAGCTTGCAGTCCTACGCAGATGCCTGCCAGTCCCTGGGCGTTCCCGTAGAGCCCTGGCGCAACTCAACCTTCTGTCGTAAGTCTCGCGGCAGCGGCGCCCGCAGCCTGCCTTGAGCGCGGGGGAGCATGTGCGCGAACGGAGAAGCCTGGGGATCAGTTGAAAGGGGCGGGCGCTTTCTCCTTCTCTTTGAAGAGAATCACTCCCTTTGAGTGACGCACAGAGAGCGCCACCTTCTCTCTCGGAGACACGCGGTCTGCAACTCCAGCTTATCTCGGAGGGCAACTATCTTAAATCTCTGGCTGGGATGCTGGAGAGCAGGGAATGCGATCTAGGAAGAGACCCTCCCCCGGTGAGGGACTCGCATCCCACTCAGTTGAGGGAGGCGGTGCGTCCTTCGGGACCGAGCCTTCGGCGCTGACCTCACGGAGATCTGCTTGCCTCCTGCAGCCATTCGTTGCGCGCTCAACAGCCACTACGAGCCTTGCGCCAACGCCTGCCCGTCCACTTGCGCGAACCCAAGTGCTCCGGCCAGCTGCAATTTGCCGTGCGCGGAAGCCTGCGTCTGCGACCCCGGGTTCTCCCTGTACAATGGCACCTGTGTGCCCAGCCAGCAGTGTGGGTGCTGGCACCAGGGTAAGCATTATCCAGTGGGCTCTGCGTTTTGGACCGACGACACCTGCTCCACCAGATGCAAGTGCCTCAGTCAAGGTGGCCAAGTGACGTGCTCCGGCGATTCCTGCCCAAAAGATCACTACTGCGGAGTCCAAAATGGTGTCCCAGGCTGCTACCCTCGTACGTACGGGGTCTGCCGCGTCCACAACGACCCTCACTACAACACCTTTGACAAAGAGACACACCACTTCATGGGCAGCTGCACCTACACCCTGGTCAAGGTCTGCGCCAACGAGACGGGGCTGCACCACTTTAACGTCGAGGCCAAGAACGAGCATCGCGGGAATCCCTACGTGTCCTACGTTCAGCGGGTCCTGGTGGAGGTTTACGGGCAGCGGATTGAAATTCTCAAAGGAGACAGGGGCCGAGTGCTGGTAAGCAAATGCCCTTTCTGACTTCCTACTTGTGCTTTTCAATAGAAGAGCGCTATCTTCCTTCTCAAGCCTCTGCCAGTCAGGTTTCGATCTGAACGTGCGGGGGAAGCCATTTCAAAACACAGCAGTGATGTTTGAGCCCTGTATTTTCCAAAACCTCGCCAAGGCCTTTCTGGTTGCGTATCAGTCTGAACGAGGTTAAGCATGGAAGGAATAGTCATAGCAGCCCCTCCTTCGCTTAGAACCAGGGTGTCATGTTTCTTTTCCCTCTCCTGGAATTGTAGTCAGAGGCAGCACTTCTGTCTAGGGACTTAGTAACGGGGAAGCGAGCCCTTCGCATCCTGGTAGTTCCCAAGGAGGCCTTGAGATGCTTCCTTTCTGAGGAAAGATATTTAGGATTTCTGTCCGACTCCTTCTAGGTGAACAAAGTGCTGACCAGCCTTTCCGTGCGCATGCTGAACGACTCCGTGCAAGTGGGCATCAGCGGACGCTACGTGACCCTAGAAACTAATTTCGGGCTGACGGTCTCTTACGACACGGACCACTCGGTGGAAATCAGGCTCCCCACCACCTTCTTCAACAAGACCTGCGGCATGTGCGGGAACTTCAACGGCCGCAGGCCGGATGACTACATGATGCCCAACGGAGAGCGAGCCCAGAATTCCAATGAGCTGGGACAGAGCTGGCAAGTTCCCAATGCAGAGTACGACCCCCCCAATTGTGGGGTCCATCCGCCAATCCCACCACCACCACCACCTTGTCCCCCCGAGCTGAGAAGTCTCTACGAGACGGAGGCCTATTGCGGACAACTTACGAGTAGCCGGGGGCCGCTGGCAGCCTGCCACTCTGCCATCAACCCCGAAAGGTTCTTCACCAGTTGCGTCTTTGACCTCTGTGCCTTGGATGGGTCCCAGCAGGCCTTGTGTGGTGCTCTGGAGGCTTATGCTGACACCTGCCAAAGAGCTGGCGTGGAGCTTCCCGACTGGAGGAACGCCACGTCCTGCGGTGAGTCCCTGTCTGACAATACTCTAAAAGATGAGAAACCGCCGTAGGCGGGGGGAAATGCCTTCTCAGTCGGTTGCAGTGGTAGCCTAGTTTTCAAGGAAGGAAAGGCGGGTATCACCTGCAATCTGCCTTTGGCTGAAGGACCAGCCCATCTTAAGAAGGGGGGGGGTGATGGCGTGGGAGGTGGGCCATCAGCTCAGTTATCGCCTCAGCCTGCAGGTCATCTATCTGCCAAAGAGGAGAGATGCCGTGGCTCCCTCTGTTGCGATCCGCTTGGCAGGTGTGGTTCCCCGCGCATGTAAAATCCAGGCAGAGTCCCCGTAGTTCCCAGCACCGCCGGCAGCTTCTAGTTCTCAGCAAGCGGACCCGGAAAAACGCTCGCGTCAGATGTGGCCTTGGGAAGCGTAGCCTGACCGCCTGGCTGGTTCTTGCTTTGTTTTGTAGACTGGCGTTGCGCTGCTAACAGCCATTACAACGTGTGCACCACTTCCTGTCCCGCCACCTGTTCCAGTCCACTGGCTCCAGGGAGCTGCACCAAGCCTTGCGTGGAGGGCTGTGAATGCGACGAAGGCTTTGTCCTTAGCGAAGCAGGGTGTGTGCCGCGGGAGGACTGCGGCTGCCTCGATGGAGACCAATATTACAAGGTTGGTTCCCAAGCAACGCCTGTGGCTACGACAGCCTGCTGTGAGTTGCCAGAAGGGTGCACGGTTCTCATCTTTCTCTTCGCCCTGTCTCCAACAGAAAGGAGAGACGTTCTGGCTGTCGGATTGTCTCGGCCGATGTCGCTGTGCAGAAAATGGCAGCTTGGTCTGTCACCCGGACAGGTGCAAAGAAGGCCAAGTCTGCAAAGTGCAGAATGGCATCCTGGGCTGCTACGTTCCAGACAAGGCCACCTGTCACATCTACGGAGACCCACACTACGTCACCTTCGACGGCCGGCTCTACCATTTCCAGGGTGGGTGCAATTACACTGCAGTCGAAATCTGCAGCAACTCCTCCCAGCAGTTCTCCGTGACGACTCGGAACGAACATCGCGGGAGCCAGCACTGGACGGCTCTCAACTCGGTGGCCATCTCGCTGCGAAACACCCACTTGGCTCTGAGGAAGAACAGAGAGGTCTACGTGAGTATTACACCCTGAAGGGCTGTGCAAGCGCAAGGGGCCATCCCGGCTGAATCTCTGGGGTTCTGCCTGCACATCCGCCAGCACTCCAGTAAAGTTTGGCTGGAGCAGATACAGTCATTCCTGACACCACGTAGCACTCGGATGCAGAAGGTGAGCATATGAGCCCCAGGTGTCCCCTAAAAGCTAGCCAAGCCCGCAAAGGTGAAGGGAAACCTGGAACTCACCTGCCTGGATTCGCTAATCTTCTAACGCTAATCTAGATCAGTGTTAGAAGGTCATATTCAATGAGTTTATTGTAGCAGCCCACATTTCAGAAGATACCTTACACTCTGATCCACTGAGTTCACGGTCCACGCTGGAAGAACTCTGACACACACGATAAACTGGGAAACAGCTGGAACTGGAATTCTGGACCTCTTTGTGGGGGACAGAGAAAGAGGAAGATACGCAATAGGGGTGAAAAGCAGGCTTGCCCATTACCGCAAACGTGGATGAAGAATCTTATTATCCATGGTGCTAAGCTACTGAAACCAGAACTTTGGTAGCGGGCTAGCCCTGTTTTCCATGTGTTGGATAGGAACAGAGAATAGGAGGCGTAGCACGGTGTGCCTGTCATCTTTCCAGGGGCGTGGGAGAGGTGGTGGCCAGGGAAGGCGTGGTAGACAAGAGGCATTTTTGGCCTGCTCCAGAAATCCAGTGAGATGGGGCTCAGCGTGCTGGCCTTTCTCCTTTCTTCAGGTGAATGGAGTCAAAGTGGATCTTCCTCTGGAGCGACAGCCGGAGTTCCGGGTGGAGGAACAGCCTCCGTATGTGGTTGTTGACAGCCCCCTGGGCTTTCTGGTGAAGTTTGATGGGGATCAAGAGCTGTTTATCCAAGTGGACGAGAGATACAAGGGACAGCTATGTGGGCTGTGCGGCACGTACTCGGGCAACCAGCTGGACGATTTCCAGCGGCCAGACGGGATCCTGGAACAGGATCCCAACAAATTTGGCAACAGCTGGAGAGCGGCAGATGACCAGTGGAGGTAAGTGGCTGTAACCAAGGCGTTTTGAGGGCTTCCGCTACGGCCTCCGTATCTAGCTCTTTGACTTGCATTGTGAAGTCACGATCGGTCGCTTTGCGGTACCGTGTACGCTGACGAGAAAGCCATCCCTGCCTGAGAGCAGGAAGGAAGCCAAACGATGTAGGGTTTCAAGGGCAGCCACTGGACATTACCTGGTTGGTCATTACCTTGTTCAGCACTTGAGCCCACCTAGTGCCACAACAAGAAGGCCGGCGGAGCCTTCTTGGTTAGTTAGGACGTCCATTTCTGCACGCATGATGCTTTACTGTTGGCTGGTTTCCTGCCCCTAGGTGTCTCCCAGAACCCCCAGTTCCACTCCCCTGCGACCCTGCGCAAGAGGCCGTTTTCGAAGATCAGTGCAGAGTGATTCTGTCCACAAACGGGCCTTTAGCAGCCTGCCATTGGAGCGTCCCTCCCCAGCTGTACTTTGAAAGTTGCGTGTATGACCAGTGTGCCACCGGGGGACATCTAGGGCAGTTGTGCAAAAGCCTGGAAGCATATGCCGCCGCATGCGAAGTCAATGGCATAGACCTCGGCGACTGGAGAGAGGATACGGCCTGTGGTGAGCTGACCTGTTCTGGGGACTCGGGTGTCTTCCAGCTATTCTGAAGGTGTCAACAGGGGCAAGCAAATGAGATCCGAGTGAGAGCACCTGTGCCTGGGGTCTCCTCCTCAGCCAGCGTATGGCTCCTCTGGCACACGTGAGTGGTCGGGAGCCTCCTTTCCGTTCCGCCGAGTCCCATTTGGAACAAAGCAGGCCAGAAATTGCTCCTTTGTGGCATCTTCTGACAATTTGCTAGCTATTGACCACGTGCTCCTGGAACATTGTGTGGAGCTGTAAGACAGGAGAGGTCAATCGTGTGGGCAGATTCAGTTTCTTCCCATCTTAATAAGCAGCAGTTGTCCTTCCACCACCGTGCAATGAACTGGGCTAGATGACCACAGAGCAGTGGTTCTGTGCTCCTGACTGTACTTATGGGAAGCAACACAAAGCCTTGGATTTCCCTTCCCATTTCCTGTACTGCGGGTCCGTGTTTATCTGTGCGTGTGAGAGAGAGACACACAACTGAGAGGAAATCACACACGACCATTCTCTTTGTAGCATGGATAACTACCACCCCTGGAGATTCCACCCTCAGCCCGACCTCTCCCTCCACAGGCAAGTCTCCACAAAGCCGGAGCAGACCCATTCTCCAGTTCTCTTCTTCCATCTTTCAGGGAATGATGGTCCTCCTGTGGCTTGAGCTTGCCACTGATCCGTGTTGGCTCAAGAGAGGGACGTGTGGGGACTGAGGAGCTTAGCTGTGGTTTGAGAGCCCATGGAGTTCCTCTCCCTTGTGGCCTCATCCCACACCCTCGGAAGTACTTTGTGGAAACGTTGCCGTGCAGCTCCAGGGAGTTCTTGCCAATGAGCGCTGAGCCTTGTGCGGAGGTGCCAAAAGTAGCCACCTCGTTTTGGCAGCGTGAATTTCTCTCAGTGCCGGATGTGGAAACTCTCTGTCTCACCAGCTGCCCCCACTGCCATTGCCCCTCCTTTGGCAGGGCTTCACAATCCATTCAGGATTTCAAGACCTTCCTTCCCAAGACACACAGCGGTCTCTTTTCTGTTGCATTCCTAGATAACGTACGGCCTTGCAACTTCTCCTGCTCCTTTGAGGAGGACTTCTGCTCCTGGACCCAATCGTCCACTGACAGCTTTGACTGGAGACGGCACAAGGGCCCAACCTCCTCGCCGGACACAGGACCCTCGTACGACCACACCACTGCAGGTGAGGCTGGCACAGAGGGGTCTTTCCCAAGTTCCCAGAGGGAGACAATCGTTGTCCTTCTTTCGTAGCATTATACAGCTGGAAGGAGCCAGTTACCCAAGGGTGTCCACCACCTGCTCACTGCGGGAATCCCAACTGTCGCATCCCCAAGAGAGGGTTACTTATTTTATTTATTAAAACTTTTATATGGCTGCCCAGCTCAGACCACGGGACTGTAGGTGGCGTACCAGAAGAAAAGAAGGGGGGGGGAAACAAAACAGGACCGTAATCAACAAACACAACAATACTTCTCTGTAACACACACTCAAATAATAACGTGGCAATCAGAACTGTGTTTTCTATCACTCGTCAGCTGAGAACTCTGCTCGTTGTGAGCAAAGGCCAGGGGGACGAGGGTCCTTGAGCCTCTGCTTGGACACATCCACCGGCGTTCTTCCCCCCTTCCCCTTCTCTTGGACTGCAGGCCCGCAACCTTTCCTGTAGAGAGGTTGAAATATGCAGAATTGCATATTCAGCCGTTGCCGCCTCTGCGCTCTCAGGTTGTCCCCCTGCTGCCCTCCCATCTGGTCCACCCTCCCATGAAAGAGTCGTTCTTATGCGATGGAGATGTAGGACCCATTTCCCCAAGCCAAGGGCTTGTGGAGTCCTGCTAGAGAGAGGCTACATTTGCCAGCGCTTACTGAAGGATCGATGGAGTGCTTGGAAGTTCAAGGCATCAGACCAGGAGAGCTGCTCTGTGCCCTTGACTGGGGAGCCCACGTCTCGCAGGAAGCCTGTCGCTTTGACCACTGTCTCTTTCTTTAGGGGGTTATTTCATTTACCTGGATGGCAACGATGCCAACTTTGGGGATGTGGCACACTTGGTCAGCCCCACGTGCATCCTTCAGAGGCCCCTGTGCTTCCGCTTCTGGTATCACATGTATGGCGTAGCCCACGCGATGGCGCTGCGGTTTTATGTCCTCTTGGATGATGCACCACCTTTTCTGGTCTGGTCTGAAACGGGCAACAAGGGCAACCGGTGGCAGACAGCAGAATTCAGCGTGGCTCACACAGGAAGGGTGAAGGTAAGGCTGAGGGCGGCAGTTCTGCCACCAAACGTCTGGCCGATGTCCCAGAATCCTGCCCCTGGCTGAAACAGACTGGAGGTGTTCTTCTCGTCCTAGATACTGCTGGAAGGGATGCGGGGAGAAGACTTCCGCAGCGATGTGGCCGTGGATGACATCTCTGTAGAGGATGGTTATTGCCTATGTAAGACTTCACAGCTTATATCTTTTCTCACAGTTGGCACCTGGCACTGCCCCGAGATGAAGTGAAGAAGGATAGCATCATGGGAACCTTGCTGGGCATTTCCCATGATTTTGTGTTTTTTCCCAGTGTGAAGAAGGAGGGACATATATCCCCGGGGACCCATTTCAACAGCTTAGACCCTACCTCAGTCAGCACGGGGATAGTTTGAGAGGGGTAGGTCGAGTGGTACAGATGTTTCCTTCTTCTCTATGCCCGCTCGGCAAAGGAGTATCTGGATCACAAGCCCAAGGCTGCTTCAAGATTGGACAGGAAGACTTGGTGATGTTTTAATGATCCTTTACATTTCTCACTCTTAGAGCAAAATACAAACGTCATTTCTCTTTTCAGCATGGACATCAACCACCCCTGTACCTACCACCACACCGATTCCTCTCATCCGAGGTGAGTCTCTTTGAGACTGAAGCAGAAACGCGGTTCCTCTCACGAATGGGTGGCCGCAGCTATAGCCTGTACCTATTGCGGTTTCAAAGCAGCTAACGCCGGCGTGCGTCTGACCTC